CCCTGTCGCTTACGAGAGCATTAACTCACGAATTCATTCACTCACTCGTCTACATTCCCATTCAGTAAATTACTTACATATTCCCACTCGTTCATTCACTCTGTCACTTTCTAGTAAATTAACCCACAAATTATTTAATTCACTCACTCATTCATCGACTGACCCACTCACTCATACCCACGCTCGCTCACACACTCATCGACATATCTGCCAATTCATTCACCCTATCACGTACTCTCCTGAATGCATTCACTATTCACTCACTCAATCGCTCTGTCACCGAATCTCAGTCGCTCGCTCACCAATGTGCATGCCGCTCGTTCATTCTCTCACTCGCCCACATGCCCACATGTCTCTGAAGTGAGTGTTGTACATTCTAACCCCGTTCTAGAACGATTACAATCTTGAAAAAAATGGCACAGATAATAGCCGACTCTATTCTTGTGACCCAAAAAACAACATCGGAAAACATGACGCTGAGAATTGGCGCCCCAGAAATGGTGGCGTCGATTCGCTCAGAGGACAGCCTCAGCCCGGAGTTCCACATTGCCGCTCTAAGCCTCACACTCAACAATACTAATTGATAATATAATATAATAATGTGATATAAATCATTACGTAACTATCTAGGAGAGCCACTCTCTTTTTTAAGTAGTGTCCTGCTGCCGCATCGGGGTGTTATTTTAAATACGTTTTCAGGCAATTGATGATGAGTTGGGTTTAATATTCTTATTCGCGTGGGGAGGAGCACACCGGAGCACCTGGAGAAACCCCCGCGCCTTGCGCGAGGGAGCAACGCTCTATCCCCACCGTACAGATTACATAAACATATGGCGATGAGTCCACACTTGCTGTACCGCTTTCTCCTGGCGAGTCGGAGGGTCGGGCACCTACCTCTTCATCCACGCGAAGGTGAGTTTTATAACAACAACAACAATGACAACAGCAACAATAACCTCGCGTAATTCAAGAAAAGTTGTTACACTCTCATAAAACAAAAAATAACGTCGACAGTGGCGTGTGCGCTGGCCGCTTAACGTGTTTGGCTAAATGGTGGGGGGGGGGGGGCAGGGGGGATAAACTTTTGCTCAGCAATTGAAAGTTTTTTCGTAACCTCTGCTGACACACGAGGCCTGAGAAACGCAGCGCTCTTCATTGCAAGGCCCGCGTGCCCCTGTGGCCTATAGTGCGGCCACTGGCCGACGTGCAAGACGCCCCGACAATTCACAAAGAGTGAAAACACCCCACACCCCCCCATCATCATCATCATTGTGCTGCTGTCACAATGCCCCAATGGCTTCCAATAATGTGCAGCGGCCCTCACTCACAAATCATTGCCCCCCCCCTCGTCTCCCCCCCCCTTGCCCCCCCCCTTGTCTCCCCCCCCCCTCGCCCCCCCTCTGAAAATAAGTGAGGAACCACCAATGCCTTGAACTACCCGGCAACCCACGGCACCATCACCAGCCGATGACCGCGTCTCCTCTCGCGGCACCGTCTCGAACTCTTCCCCATCCGCCCCATTCACGTTCCAGCTCAACGGTGGCGAGAAAACTCCTCTGGACGTGAAGCCGAGAGAGAGAGAGAAAACTAAACGACAAAAAGAAAAGAGCTTTACAGCTCATCAGATTGCTCCTCCGGCAGGATGGAGAGCGATTTCTGGTGCGCGTGGATACGGCGTTGCGCTTGGCGCTCGCGACTAGAGAGGCGAGGTGACGCCTTCGATTGGCACGGGACGGCGACGTACGGTGCGAAAGAAGTTCAACGTGAGTCCGTGCCGGCCTGTGTCAACGTCTTCTCCAGAGTCTCAGCTGTTTTGCCCATGCACGTGACCAGCGGACTCTGATTTCCCAACGACTGTGAGCCCTGGATGAGTTGCCACCTCATTGCATGTTCAATTGTCGTTCGTATTAACCGTGTAAAAAAAGAAAAGAGACCGTGAATATGCACTGCGAACACAATGGTACGCAAAACACACACACACAGAGACAAACAGAGAGACGTGCTCACCACTGATACACACAAAGACAAAGATCCCCCCGAATAACCCTAACATCAGTAAGTGCTGTGAGCGAACACCTATGAAGGCTGGCACGGCTGGCACGTCTCCCCAGTGAGACCAGGAACTCGTTTGAGGCTGAGTCGATCCAGGGGAGGCCCAGGACCGGTTCACATAATCGTCACTGGTGTGGTGATCGTGAGCGAGAATGGAACTCGGGTCGCCGGGTTCGTAGTGCAGCGCGCTAACCGCTAACTCCACCGTTCCCCCCACGCACACACACACAGACCCAAATACTAAACATCAGCAGGCACACGCGTACAAACACTCACGTGCACACCCAAAGACAAAGATCCCCCCTATAGCCTTAACAGACTGTAGGGGCAAGTGCTGTTAGCGACAACCTATGAAGGCCGGCACGGCACACCGGGGGGGTTGCGTGGCCAACAGCACGCCCGGCCGCCTTTGTCTTCCTAGTGGCGATATTTACACACCGCACCAGGTACTCATTTGAGGCTGAGTCAACATAGGGGAGGCCCAGGACCGGTTCATATAATCGTCACTGGCGTTGGCCGTGAGCGAGAATCGAACGCGGATCGCCAAGTTCGTAGCGCAGCGCGCTAACCGCTACACTACCGCTCCCCAGACGTGCGCACACACTCTCACACACTCTCACACAAACTTACACACACACACTGTGTAGCGGTTAGCGAGTCGCGCTACGAACCCGTGCCTCCCGGGGTCGATTCCCGCTCCAGGGTCAACAGCAAGTGACGATTATCTGAACCGGTCCTGGGACTCCCCTAGGTCGACTCAGCCTCGAATGAGTACCTGGTTCGGTGTGAAGTAAACATCGCCACTGGGGAGACAGAGGTCTGCCGGACGTGGTGCTGGCCACCTACCCCCTCGTGTGCCTTGCCGGCACTTGCCCCAACAGCGCGCGAAGGCTATACGGGGGACCTTTGTCTGTGTACGCGTGCGCGTGTGTGCGTGTCGCTCTAACACTCACTGTGTATCGACTCGCGGTCTCTACCACCACCCGCGCGCCGTGATTGACGTTGACAAAACGACGCCCAAATAGCGTGGCCGGCTCGCGTCTCCCTCGGTCTCCTCCCTCCCTCCATCCCACCTCCCTTATCACCACCACGATCATCTTCCTCCTCCTTCCTCTCCCCCATCTTACCCTCCCTCCCTCATTCCCTCACCACCACGACCATCCTCTCTCCCTCCCTTCTTTCTTCCTTCTCTCCCCCACACTCAACCAACAACTATCACCACGATCATCTCCTCCCTAACCCCCATCGCCTCTATCCCCCCCCCCACCACCTCAACCACCCAGCCCTCCCACTCTCCCACACCTCCTTCCCATCATCATCATCATCACCACCACCACGATCATTCTCCTCCCTAACCCCCATCCTCTCCCTCCATCACCCCACTCTCCCTCCCCCTAAAACTCACACCCTCCTCCGCTACCCCCACCCACCCACCCCTAAACCGTCTCGCCCACTGCCTTGCCACCCTCCCCCCCCCTCCTCTACCACCACCACCACCATCAGCACGATCATCTCCTCCCCCAATCACCCACCCACCCACTCACCCTCCCTCCCCACCACCACCACCACAGCCGCCAGCACCATCACCACCGGCGCTCCGCCCCACGTCTCTCTCTCTCTCTCACTCTCTCACACGTGCGCCTGCTCGTCACGACTCCCAGCGCCTTCGACGTCTCCTGCGCCGCGTCCCTGCGTTGACAGTTTTAACACCAAAATTAAATTACTCGGCACCCGTCGGCGGAGGCCAGGGGCGGCGTTGCTTTTTGCAAGGGGCTGTGGGGGTGTGGGAGGCGTCAAAGGCAACGTAAGAAAAGTGTCCTTCGCTCCGCTACAGACGTCACACGGGGGGTGGGGGGGGGTGGTGGGAGCTTCGTCCATCAAGCAGTCGTCCGCGACACTTCGGCAGGGAGTCGAACTTAGATTGCCTGGCCCCGGACGGAGGTGGGTGGGTGGGGAGGGGGCGGTTGCTCTGGTCGGGTCTCCCTCTGTCCCGGTCGCCTCGTCGCGACTCGGGCTGCGCCGGGTTCCTGCGAAAGGGCCCCGCTGCCGACGCGGCTGACGTGGGATTTGTCGTTTAAGCTGTTTTGCTTGTTTGAGTTGAGACTTTCTCGCACTGCGCCCGAAGGATTTCTAATTTCACGTGACGGCAACAGCAGCAGCAACAGCAGCAGCAACAACATCAGCGGCATCATCATCATCAGCAGCAGCAAGTTGCAGTCAAAGTTCCAGCAACATCAGCGACATCATCATCAGCAGCAAGCGAAATACAAAAATAAAGTTCAGCTGCAGTAGCAGCAGCAGCAGCAGCGGCGGCGGGAGTAGAAGCGACGATCATCAGCAGCAGGAACAGCGGCGGCGTTTTAATCACCAACAGAAGCGGACACGCATCAGCAGCATCAGCAGCAACATTAATAGAAACAGTTACAACTGCACCAGCATCATCATCATCAGCTGCGGCAAAAAGTGCACTGGAAGTCATACCACCATCATCATCATCATCGGTCAAACAACATCAGCAGTAAACACGCAACAGCCGCGATAGCAGAAGCATCCACAGGAACGATACCAGAGGCAAAACTTCCGCAACAGACGCAGACACACAGCGGGCAGCGATAGCGCCATCGTCAGCAGCAGCAGCAGCATCAGCAGCAGCAGCAGCAGCCGCATCAGCAGCAGCAGCATCAGCAGGAAAAGGAGGAACAACCACACTAGAAGCAGCAGCATCATCAGCAACAATAACACTTGAAGCATCATCATCATCAGCAGCAGGAGGAACAACACCAGCAGCAGCATCATCATCAGCATCATCAGCAGCAGCAGGAACAACACCAGCAGCAGCATCAGCAGCAGCAGGAGGAACAACACCAGCAGCATCATCATCATCACCATCAGCAGCAGCAGCAGGAGGAACAGGAACACCTGAAGCATCATCATCAACAGCAGCAGGAACAACACCAGCAGCAGCATCATCATCATCAGCAACAGGTGGAGGAACAGCAACAGCAGAATCATCATCACCAGCATCAGCAGCATCAGCAGCAGCGTCATCCGCGATGGCCGAGAAGCGGCGTCTGGGTCCTGCGCTCAGCTCCCGCGCTCACGCCTTCTCAGTGGAGGCGCTCATCGGGGTGAGCTCTCGCAAGCGCAGGAGGGACGGCAGCGGCAGCAACGAGAACGGAGAGGAGGACGACGACGACGAGGAAGAGGAAGAGGGCGAGGAGGAAGATGAGGAAGGGGGGGACGAGGCGGAGGGGGACGAGGAGGATGAGCGAGGGAAGAGCGCGGCGCTCGAGAAGGCGCGCGGCGCCGCGGAGCGGGCGAGCGGGGGCGAGGAGCGGCAGAGAGCGGGTGGGTGGACGGAGCGCTCAGCTCGCTACACACTCATCTACTCACTCACCTACTCACTCACCTACACACTCATCTACTCACCTCACCCACTCACCTCCCCTACTCACTCACTCACCTACTCACTCACCTACTCACTCACCTACACACTCATCTACTCACTCACCTACTCACCTCACCTACTCACTCACCTACTCACCTCCCCTACTCACTCCCCTACTCATTTACCTACTCACTCACCTACTTACTCCGCTACTCACTCACCTACTCACTCACCTACTCACCTCCCCTACTCACTCACCTACTCACCTCCCCTACTCACTCACCTACTCACTCACCTACTCACTCCCCTACTCATTTACCTACTCATTTACCTACTCACTCACTCATCTACTCACTCATCTACTCACTCACCTACTCACCTCCCCTACTCACTCACCTACTCACTCCCCTACTCACCTCCCCTACTCATTTACCTACTCACTCACTCACTCCCCTACTCACCTCCCCTACTCATTTACCTACTCACTCACTCACTCACCTACTCACCTCCCCTACTCATTTACCTACTCACTCACCTACCTACACATTCACTCGCCCACCCACTCATATATTTGCCTACCCACTCTAACTCATCCACTCACCCTGCCATGAACGCATGCACTCACTCATCCACTCACCCGTCCACTCACCCATGTACCTACATAGCCACTCACCTACCTACCTTCCCACCATCGCATCAGTACGCTCACCAACTCATAAACACATTCACTCACCTATTCACCTACTCACCTACTGACGAATGTACTGACCTACTCACTCACCGGCTCAAACACATATATACTCACACGCTAATTCACCAACTTAGGACTACATTCACTCACCAACAACAATAATAACAACCTTTATTTTAACAAGCGCCTTTCATATTGAAGTTTCTCGAAGCGCCGTACCGCACATACAATAAAACTGCACTCACAAGTACAGATACAGATATGAGCGAAATAGAAATGTGGTAACAATATCAATCAATGGCTACACTCGGAATTCCAATAAAATATAGAACTATCATTAACGTGAATAATAATGATAATTACAGAGTAATCCAATACGACCTACTCACTCATGTTTTCACCTACTGGCTCACGAACTCGCCCCACCAACCTCCTTATTAAAACATTTTCTTAATCACCAACTAATTTTCTTATGCGTGAAACTCGCTCATCAGCCAACTCACCAGCGCGCTTAGCAGCGTGCTTCTAAAGCACACTCACCCAATACAAAGACAAAGACCCCCCGTATAGCCTTGACATGTTGTTGGGGCAAGTGCTGTTAGCGACCACCTATAAAAGGCCGGAGCTGCACACGAAGGTGGTGGTAGTGGGCAGGCTCCACACCCGGCCGCCTTTGTCTCCCCAGTGGCGATGTTTTACACACAGCACCAGGTACTCATTTGGGGCTGTGTCTACCCAGGACGGGTTCAGATATCTGTCAGTAGTGTTGGCCGTGAGCGGGAATCGAACTCCGGGGTCGCAGCGCAGCGGCGCTAACCCGCGACACTACCGCTCACCACCACACCCCACTCGCTCACCACCACACCCCACTCGCTCACCACCTCACCCCACTCGCTCACCCACCACTCCCCACTCGCTCACCACCATACCCCACTCGCTCACCACCACACCCCACTCGCTCACCACCACACCCCACTCGCTCACCACCACACCCCACTCGCTCACCACCACACCTCACTCGCTCACCACCACACCCCACTCGCTCACCACCACACCCTCTACTCGCTCACCACCACACCCCACTCGCTCACCACCACACCCCACTCGCTCACCACCACACCCCACTCGCTCACCACCACACCCCACTCGCTCATCCAACACCCCCTACTCGCTCACCACCACACCCTCCACTCGCTCACCACCACACCCCACTCGCTCACCACCACACCCTCCACTCGCTCACCACCACACCCTTCACTTGCTCACCACCACACCCCACTCGCTCACCACCACACCCCACTCGCTCACCACCACACCCTCCACTCGCTCACCAACACACCCCACTCGCTCACCACCACACCCTCCACTCGCTCACCACCACACCCCACTCGCTCACCAACACACCCTCCACTCGCTCACCAACACACCCCACTCGCTCACCACCACACCCCACTCGCTCACCACCACACCCTCCACTCGCTCACCACCACACCCCACTCGCTCACCACCACACCCCACTCGCTCACCACCACACCCTCCACTCGATCACCACCACACCCCACTCCCTCACCACCACACCCTCCACTCGCTCACCACCACACCCCACTCGCTCACCACCACACCCCACTCGCTCACCCAACACACCCCACTCGCTCACCCACCACCCCCCACTCGCTCACCACCACACCCCACTCGCTCACCAACACACCCCCCACTCGCTCACCACACCCCCCACTCGCTCACCAACACACCCCCCACTCGCTCACCAACGGACCCCACTCGCTCACCACCACACCCCACTCGCTCACCACCACACCCCCCACTCGCTCACCAACACCCCCCACTCGCTCACCACCACCCCCTCCACTCGCTCACCAACACACCCCACTCGCTCACCACCACACCCTCCACTCGCTCACCACCACACCCCACTCGCTCACCCAACACACCCCACTCGCTCACCCACCACCCCCCACTCGCTCACCACCACACCCCACTCGCTCACCAACACACCCCACTCGCTCACCACACCCCCCACTCGCTCACCAACACACCCCCCACTCGCTCACCAACGGACCCCACTCGCTCACCAACACACCCCACTCGCTCACCCAACACCCCCCACTCGCTCACCACCACACCCCACTCGCTCACCCAACACACCCCACTCGCTCACCCACCACCCCCCACTCGCTCACCAACACCCCCCACTCGCTCGCCAACACACCCCACTCGCTCACCACCACACCCCACTCGCTCCCCACACCCCCCACTCGCTCACCCAACACCCCCCACTCGCTCACCAACACACCCCACTCGCTCACCAACACACCCCACTCGCTCACCAACACACCCCACTCGCTCACCACCACCCCCACTCGCTCACCACACCCCCCACTCGCTCACCACACCCCACTCGCTCACCAACACACCCCACTCGCTCACCACCACACCCCACTCGCCCACCAACACACCCCACTCGCTCACCCAACACACCCCACTCGCTCACCCAACACACCCCACTCGCCCACCAACACACCCCACTCGCCCACCACCACACCCCACTCGCTCACCACGCCCCCCACTCGCTCACCACCACACCCCACTCGCTCACCACCACACCCCACTCGCCCACCGTGCCGTTCGTCCCCATCCGTTGCCAGAGGTTCGCGGTTCGAATTCCAGCGTCCGCGCCCGATCATCACCGCGGCGGTGACTTTAACCGGAGGGAGTCGAGCTACTACTACCACTACTGCTACTACTCCCACTACTGATACCGCTACTACTACCGCTACCGCTACTACCACTACTGCTACCGCTACTACTACCACTACTGATACCGCGACTACTACTGCTACCGCTACTGCCACTACTGCTACCACTACCGCTACTACTACCGCTACTACTACCACTACTGCTACCGCTACTACTACTACTGCTACCGCTACTACTGCTACCACTACCGCTACTACTACCGCTACTACTACCCTACTGATACTGCTACCGCTACTGCTACCGCTACTACTACTACTGCTACCGCTACTACCACTACTGCTACCGCTACACCTACCACTACTGCTACCGCTACTACTGCTACCGCTACTGCTACTACTGCTACCGCTACTACTACCGCTACTACTACCGCTACTACTACCACTACTGCTACCGCTACTACCACTACCGATACTACTGCTACCACTACCGCTACTACTACCGCTACTACTACCCTACTGATACTGCTACCGCGACTACTACTGCTACCGCTACTACTACTACTGCTACCGCTACTACCACTACTGCTACCGCTACTACTACCACTACTGCTACCGCTACTACTACCACTACTGCTACCGCTACTACTGCTACCGCTACTGCTACTACTGCTACCGCTACTACTACCGCTACTACTACCGCTACTACTACCACTACTGCTACCGCTACTACCGCTACTACTACTACCGCTACTACTACCGCTACTACTACTGCTACCGCTACTACTACCGCTACCGCTACTACTACCGCTACTACTGCTACCGCTACTACTACTACCGCTACTACTGCTACTACCGCTACTACTACCGCTACTACCGCTACTACTACCGCTACCACTACCGCTACTACCGCTACTGCTACCGCTACTGCTACCACTACCGCTACTACTGCTACCGCTACCACTACTACTACCGCTACTGCTACCACTACCGCTACCACTGCTACCGCTACCACTACTACTACCGCTACTACTACCGCTACCGCTACAACTGCTACCGCTACTACTGCTACTACCGCTACTACTGCTACTACCGCTACTACTGCTACCGCTACTACTGCTACTACCGCTACTACTACTACTACCGCTACTACTACTACCGCTACGCGCTGTCCGCTTAGCTCGCGTGGACGTTTAAAAGATTCCCGTGACGTGGGAGTGCGCGCGCGAGCGTTTACATTATTTTTTTACAACAACAACAATAATAACAACCACAATGAAAATTGTACGCCGCAAAATGTCTCGCTAGTGGGGACGTACGGAGCGCAACCACCACCCCCCCCCCCCCCCTACTGGCGGACTGATGCCCCCCAGGGTCACGGGTTGCACGCGATACTCCCTCCCGGTCTCACGCGGGCTAGAACTTGAATCACAAACTCGCTGAAACCGACTCAGCGACTCCTTCGCGCGCTCACCCACGCACTCACTCTGTTTACGCAAACCCCCGTTGTCGCTCACCACCACCACCAACAACAACAATAAACGCGCTCACCGATGCG